GGTCAGGTCCACGACGCTCCTCACTCCTCACGAGTCAGTAGGCAAGCCGAAGAGCTTGACGGTGCCCGCCTCGCGGTTGCTGTCGTATTTGCCGTCCTTGTCGTCGCAGGCGTACGCCAGCAGGGGGCGCCTGGGGTGCCAGGCCACCGTGAAAGTGGGGGACTCGCACTGCACCTCCCACAGCTTCTCTCCTGAAAACAAAGGACAACAAAAAAAAAAAGGGCTCGGAACGGCAAATTCTTCCATCCTTGGATGAAATTCCGCAGGCAATTCAGATCCTGGGATACATTAAGGTGCCCGGGCACAGGGCCAGCGTTAGCGTCAGAGCGGATCCAACTGACGGCCAAGTTTATATTTTTATATATACTGTATATATAATGTCTAATTTCAGGTCAAAGGCATATGTCAGATGTCACAAACACTTATTAAAACTAAATACCAATATATGGTTTTCTTCCCCGTTTGCAAATATTGAACTATTCACTATAGATATTTTCATTATTCCAAACAGAAGACTGAGACAAAAACACATGATGCCTGCATCAGTGCTGCAGGAATCTGATAAAGCAGCGACACTGACAACCACAGAAAGTGAACTAAATTGGAAAGACCATCATTTTAAATTATTATTCTACACAAAATAAAACAAGAATCGGAAATTATGATATTTTAAACCTGCGAGCCACGTGTCAATGTTTTGAAACAAAAAGAAATAAGTAAGAATGATTCCTGGCCTTCCCCTCCATTAAAATCCCCACAAGATGCTAACTGAATGTTTTTTAGCTGTGAATATTCTGGACGTCACGACCGAAGCTCTCGTATTGTTTACAACCGGGAAGGAAGACAATTGGTTTTGATCAAAAATCATTATTTGAGCCCTAATTTTAATGCACAATTAAAGCATGTCAATATAAACAGGGTATATCTCATTTTGAAAATATACTGATATATCGTAAAAATTCGATATACTGCCCCACCCTAGGTGAGGGTAAATATTGTTGGGGGGGAGGAGGTGGATAAGCAGACGATCTGTAGCTACACCTCTGGGAGAGGTCGGCAGATGGGCTTGTTTGTCTTAGGGTGAACACCTTTATTAAAAAAAAAAATGAAATAAAATGAAAATGAAAAAAATTATAGTCGATGACCTTCATGGGCGGTACTGGGAAGGGGGCACAATGGCTCATTGGGGGGGAAATTACCTGTGAATGCCCCCCCCCCCCCATGACGCCTACCCTGCAGAGGGTCCCAGAGACTCGCTTGGTGTTACAGCAGTCGGTAGGGGGCGAGAACCAACAACCAACGCACTCAGGCAAACGGGCAAATCACGGGCCGGTCGGCTCACCAGTTTCCACCTCGGCGATGTCGATGAAGTGGTCCTCGGATGCCGATGCCAGCATCTTGCCATCGTGACTGAAGCTCAGGGTCCGGACGGGCCAGTCGAGCCTGACCAGCATTTGGGGGGAGGGAAGTTAACCTAATGTCATGCTCACTGTTTTCAAAATGTTTTTGTTTTCCGTTTTTCAGCTTTATGATGATTTGCTACACTGGGATGGTTACTGGTCAGCTGAAGCCGAATATGACATCACCAAGACTAATGGGAACATTTTTTTATCTTAATGAACAGACAGCAAATTTCCTCCCAAACTGTCTCCCATGTAGTAAATGATTAAGCTTTTCAGGATTTAAACGTCACTGCTAAAAACGGGTTCTATCCTTAGGCTGCACGATTCATGATTTCATTATTACGGGTGTATATAATTATGCACGGAGGCAGAGACTGCTCTAGTTTTCAGTTCTGTGGTTTAAAGAATATCCCTAGTTGCTATGGAAAAGTACTGAACTGAACTCAAATTCCTGTCAGACCATATTTATCCGCAACTAAATGCTTCTTCTGCTTTGACTAGAGCTGGATTAGAAGCAACACAGCTTCCTTCCCAAACCACCCCAGGCAGCCGCTGCTTTTCCCCTGTCTAAGTCCAAACACAATCCAGGGTTATGAAAACTCCAGCCTCTATGAAGAAGCCAACCTAAAAAGCTCATCTCACTGATTCTCTGAGGTCTTCACAGACTTGACTCATTTACAGGTCGGAATGAACCAGCGCCCTCACCTGGAGAAGCAGCGCACGCACACCAGCTCCTCCACGTCCCACAGGCTGACCAGGGCATCCGCGCTGCCTGTGGCGAAGTACTTCCCCGTGGGGTCAAACTTGATGCAGATGCAGTTGGACGGGTGAGCATTGATGGACTGGATTGGCTTTAACTCAGGGTAGCTGAAATGGTCAGGGGTTACATTTTGTGCTGTTGGCTTGGTTCGGATACAAGATTTAAAAATGTAGACTTTGAAACCATAATCCACATTAACATTGAGCACCAATCTACATACTGCCCAGTCTTTGCATCACGAGACGACATCATGCACAAGAGCTCCGATTTCAAAGGAAAATTTAATTTGTTAACATGTACTGCAGAATGTCACATGACCTTTAACCAGCGCGATCTTGCCTGGGCTCCAAACATTTACAGTGATGCTAAGCGAATGCTAACACGAGGCGTCCCCGACGTGCGCGCCGCCCGTACCTGAGCACGTTGATGCAGCCGTTGCCGTTGGTGAGGAAGAACATGTCGTTGTCGTTGTTCCAGGAGATCTCGTTCACCTCGAACTTGAACTGCTCCTCCGCCCGCGATCGGTGCGTTTTGGCATCGATGAAGGTCACCACGTCGTCCTTGTTCCCCACGGCGATGGTCTGCCCGTCCGGACTCCAGCATATGTTAATGTTTTCCCCTGCAGGCCGAACAGCCGTCAACGGTCAGAGTGCTGGATCGTCGCAACCCAGACCGCTTACATAAAAACAGTTTTACTTGTTTTAAGGAATTGCGTGAACTATCAGACAAGTATAACTCCACCATCTAATTGCAAAGCATCATTAAAATTAAGGTCTTGCCTTTCGTGCTGACAGACGCGATGCACTTGGTCGTCCGAACATCCCAGATGCGGATGGTCTTGTCCCCTGAGGCGGTGACGAACAGGTCCGGGTTTGTGGGATGCCAACACAGCTGGTCGACGCTGTCTCCATGGCCGCGATAGTTGTTTTCCTTCACCTGTAATGAAGTGCAACATGGTATCCTTCTACACAGTTACCCCACCCCCTCATCTCATTTGTACAGCTGATTGTTAGTCAGTTACTACACTGAGTGTCCATTGCAATCTGCACACCTATATTTATGACTACACCACTTGCGCTCTCCTCTCCTTTGCAGCATAAAATGTATATTTTCAATAAATAATCATTATATACATCCCTATTTACATTCCATGCACCGCCCCCCTTTATATGGTATTTTATTTTAAAATGTATTTAAATTTCTTTTGTACAGTCTGAAAATCAACCAAATTTGCATTTCACTGTAACCTGCAGACCTGTATATAAGTTCTATAACTATATATGCCGAACAAAAATCTTGAATCTCTTGGACTGATTAAAATATCACGGAGCGGACTTTAAAGGCCCAAATGTGCGCTTGGTTTACTGGACACGAAAAGCCAGTAGAAAGCTCCGTTAGTTTTAAAAATCCTGCCCTATGAATACTGGGAGTTCCACTAGTTTGTGAGGAGGTTTGTATAATAAAAAAGAAAAATGGACGACATCAGCATTGAACCTTCTGGTAAGGCGGAGTATTAGCGGTGCAGGTGAACAGTCTAATCGGGGAAACCAAACAAATAAGCCGTCGGACATCGTGCCCTTTTAGCTTTATTGAAACGTCCTGGTGTCTCCACATAAACACCGCCATGCAAAGCCGTGTAACACCGAGCTCCACATTTACAAACCTGCGGATGGAAGACAACCTGCTCTACAACTGCAGTTTCATTGCAGTCAATGAAAGGCTAATTAAAATGATTTAATCTCACATTATATTTCCGGCATTTGAGCAGCGTTTATAAATTCGCTTATCAAGTGTTATTTTCCCATTTGAGAGTGGCTGCTACCCAGTGGCTAGGCGTTCGTTAGCATCGAATGAAGACGTACCAGGCGGTCTTTCTCCAGGACAAACACGCTCGCCGTCTTATCAAACGATCCTGAAGCCAGACGCCGGCCATCACAGCTCCAAGCTACCGAGTGAACTTTAGCGCTGTGGGCCGGAAACTCGCGACTCTTGTTATTATTTTTGAAACTCTCCTGCATCTCTTGGTAGTACTGCGACGCCATGTTGGAGACGTGAGTAATATCGAGGAGGAACGGGGGGGGGGGGCGAGATTAACTTTCAAAAACATTTACTTATTAACCCCGCATTAATGTTATTGATAAACTGAAGACATTTCAAAGTGTATATGTTTCGTTCTTTATTTAATACAATATGTTAATTTGGATAGGTTTTAGTAACTGAGATGAAATTGCAAAACCTTAAAACGTCAAATGGTTCAGTCCATTCAAAAACGAATAAAACTTTATTTAAAGTCATAGACATTGATATTCGTCCATTCAACTGCTGTTTTGCCTATCGTCGCTAGGGGGCTGTTCTAGGCGTTACAAAGCTGGGGTTTTCATAAACAAATGCTCCTTTCCTGGTCTTTAATTTCATCCTCATATATTACATATGGATCAATAAGGACATTATACAAACTCAAAAATAGTCTTAGTAAACTGGTTTGCCATGGAATTTATTTCATTAGCCTCAATTCCGCAGTACTCTGAACTTCTAAACAAATATGGTATTTCTATCGCAAGGGAATGTGCTTTATTTTTTCATGCAATCCTTTCTAGTATCATGATGATTCTTAGAAACATCACCCCTGGATCCTGTTGTTACTGGTGCTGATCGCCTCTAAAACAGCAATAATTACCAGGATATACAAGCGTTGTATCAAAAAGAAATTATTTACTGGAATAATCTTACTTGAGACCTGGACTGGAAGAAAAATTATGTGCTGTCTACCTTCTAAACATTTGATTACAAATTAAGTTAAGGAAGTGACTCTTACAATAATAATTTTATACTTACAAGGTATTTCTGAAGAGGTATAAAGGTATAAAGGACACTGCTCATTTTGTCAGCTGGTTCCAGAAGATTTATATAATTTATTTTGCTCTTGTTCCAACACTGGTACTTTTGGCAGGTGGTCTGTACCTTCAGTTCCCAATAGCTGTATTGATTCAAAATTTTCCCTTTCCTATAATAATGTATTGTTTTGCTTTTTTACTTAAAATTTACTTTTTTACTACAATTCAAACAATATATGACTTCAATCCTATACTGTCAAAATAGGAACGGTAGTAAAACCTTGAATTTTTGTTTATCATTTTTTAAAATTGATTAATTAGTTAATTGACCACTAATATAGAAAAAAGGTTTTTGCATGATAAAGCATGTAGTAGATTAAATAGTAGAATGAAGTAGTACAACGATTGTCTTGTTTAGTGTGGTTATTAACATATTCCAATAATATTGTTTAAAAATGAGACATTTGGATAATTTGAGGAGAGCTTATAGACACTGACAGAGACAGATGGGGTTGAATTTGTAACAAAATAAAGCTGATGGTCTTTAAAATGCATTCAATTATGAATGGAACAAAGACAGTTGAGTATTTCAATGGCCAAACTTTTATTTCCTTAACTAAAAAAGAATGCTTAATGATTATGAAAGCGATGAAAAGGTTTATAAACTTAAAACTGAGGACAGTCTGTTTTCCATCTTAAACACACATTTTAGTCAAGGTACAAGCACACTCGCACAAACAAATAATTACGATAGTGTTAACGAATTGTCAGAATAAAAGGAAGCTTTAAGGAATCTGAAAAGGTTGATAGCCAATCATTGCAAATCAAGGACATCCTAATATACAAATTTTATGAGAGGTGGACAGAAGCATTTTTGTTGTAGCTTTTTGCTACAGCCCAAAGTTCAGATGTTCAGATCTCCTCTGTCCACATCTTTTCGCTTTAATAGACAGATATACAATATGCAAGCAAATAGATAAGGTCAATCACTCTTATGTTCATTTTCATTGATTGGATGGGGGCACGCATTTATAATTGGTTCTACATTATGGAAATGTTTCGTTTTTATTGCAGAGATGGAGTAACAGATCTTCCAGCTTTTTGTTTCAGTCCACAGACTCCAAGGCATAGACAGCACTGCTGCAGAGTCACATCTGAAGGTGGCGTGATCCTGCCCTATCACCCCAACAGTGCCTTAATGCAAATAACTAGTGATGGCCAAGTGAAGCTATGAACCATATGCTATATTTTTTGTCCCCACTAGGTGGCTCTCTTGGCTTGCTTTGGGCCATGCTTTGAGCCTTTTTTTGAACAGACGGCGCCATCTAGTGGGGTCAGAAAAAAAGTAAGTGGTTCACGAAGCTTCATTTGGCTATCACTACAAACACCATCAGCTCCTCGACTGCTGCACCTTCCGTGCATCCACATATAGCTTGACCGCAAGATATAGCACCTGGTCCCCAGTGAGGCAACGAGAATGTCACAGCGGATGCTTTACCCCTGAATTCTCAGGCGATCACTTAGAAGTGCAAGATCCTCCAAGGAAGGAATGGAAGACATTTTTTTAACTATGTGGTATCGCTCCCTTCCAGTTATTACCCATTTTTCCGAAGTTAGTAGATGTACAATTTAGGATTAGTCAGGAGGTGAAGTGTGTCTGTTTGGAGGTAGGCTGAATACATTAGCACTTGTTTCCAGGTGTGCGGAGACACCATCCTTTTTTGGTCGGCTAGATCTGCTGACATCAGGTGACATATGAGACACGTGAATGTAGTAAACAAAACCGGGTTCACGTGCCCCTAGGTATGTTTATGTGCAACGCTCAACGCTGTTGATTTGTCGGGGATTTAACTAATGGCCACTGTAAAACGACCAATGGTCACCATATTGTTGTTGGCGCATCAAGCGTTTTAGTACGTTCTGAGATATGTCGATCCAGTTTTAGCATATTTTAAGAAGGCATTAATACATTGCAATTATAAAATTAGAACTGAAGGCAATACTTTATGTAATTATAAGAAGAAAAGTAATAATATCAAAAGCCAGTTTTTAGAAATTATGAAATAAATATGTGAATGGGTTTTCTTACATGTGAGAGAGCAAGTGTTTGAATTTTCTATTTTTCCTAATGATAGAATAAGGGCACAAATCTATTGTATATGTTGCATACTAAACAGGACAATAGTGCATTCCTTAATCAGTAAAAATCCACACCAGATGTCTGTGCAGGTAAAATGAGAAGGAAAACTAAAGCTCTTCAAATCATGTGTCTCAAGTTACAAACTGAAGTTCTGTGCAAATAGTGCAACCGTCCTTGCCCTGTCCTGCTCTGCTCAACACTGCCCTCTAGTGACCACCTATGGAACTGACGTTAACACTCTGCATCAGTGCCCCCGATCAGCGGGCTGACACCATCTGGTGAGGCTGGCGTGAGCATGGCCTGCTTTTCCTGGTTCAGGACGGTGTGATTCTCTCCATTAGACTCTGCTGGTGCAGGCTTCTCCTCATTTGTCTTCTCCTCTTCCCCACTGAGAGAAACAAACAAGCACAAATCAGCACAATTTGCTGCTAAGGAGCAGGATGGTGGAGCCCTTGATTTGTGCCCTGGAGGTTTACAGGATGCACTGCTATTGTACTCTTGAGAAAACTCTTGATTTCCCCTTAATTGAATCCGTAAATATCCAGCAGACTCCCTTAAAGTCCCAGATCCAGTCATGTGACCCATTTCAATCTCTTCCATCAAGGTGAGCTTGGTCACACTCCCTAAGGTGTTTGTAGGGACAGGGTTGCAAGCAGGTCCAGGTCCAACCCCCATGTACTACCTTTCATCACCAGACACAAAAACATCTTATCTATTCACCATTGTATGTGATTTCTCAACTGGGTTAACATTGCTGAGTTAAGAGTTTAAGATTTTGATTGTAATCTCTGTCATAGCATGGAATATGGCTAAGAATGATTGGTAGAACAGCAGCACCCCCTTGAGGGAGGAATCAGTATTGCAAAGAGAGGACTCTGAGGAAGACTACCTGTCACAGCTGCCATTGGCGAACAGCTCAGAGATGCCCTTGTCCGATGAGGAGCTCCTGGTGCTGCCCCCTCGCCGTGGCCCCCACGCCTCTTTGCCCGAGTCGGAGCTGTGGCGGGCGTTCAGGCTCTCGGAGGAGGACACCTTGCTGATCTCACTGTCCTTCTCATCTGCAGGAAAAGTGCCAAGCGAGTGCCAGAGGGAGTGTCAGAGCTCGCAGATTCAGGGGGACTCTGCTCAGATCTGTTGACTTTTCAAAGCGTGAGGAGCTGCGATGGATGATGAATGATGCAAAACGGTCTGCTGTGAATAGCTAGTATTAGCGCAACAGAGTTTGGAAGCTGGAGAGACTGCAGTGGCAGCACATTGATATTATTTCCACTGCCTTGCTGATGTACTATAATGTGCCAATTTCAGCAGTCATTAAGGAAATTGGTAAGCCATGCATGGTACCAGTGGAAGCCCATGTGGTGCTCTAGGCAAGCTTCAATGCCGGCACCCCCTCAGAAGATGGCACTCTAAGCCAGTGTTTCCCCACCCGGTCTTCGGGAACTCCCAGCCTGTTCGTGTTTTTGCTCCCTCTCAACTCCCTGCCAGACCACATTTTTGCTCCCTCCCAGGTCCAAAAAACTTGCAAAAATGTGGATTATCTGGGGGTTTCCAAGGACCAGGTTAGCAGCCACCTTTGACGCCTAATGGTTTAACTGGCACTGGCCATAAATTCCATAGGCTGGAGCGTCGAGGGCATCCCCTAACTGCCAGGTGAATAGGGCACAGTTGAGGGGGTACCAGCGTGGATGTGGCTTTGGGGGTGAAACAGTTGGGGTGGGTTTGTATAGGTAGGGACAGAGCCTTGAACCTGGGTTTGAAGGATTGGGTGTGGTTTCAGGACACGCTCTGGGGGCCGTGGGCGCGGTGGGGTCACCGTGAGACCGGGCATCACCTCCAGCTGTGGCATCACAGGCCTGCTTACGCCTCCTCCTGAGAATCACCTCCAGCTCGCTGTCCCTCTTGCTAGGTGGAGCCTCCGGGAATCCCCGGCTTGGGCTCCTCTTCACTGTCTCCTGTGGGTCCAAACAGAGCACATAGGGGGCGCCACTGAGTACCACTAACTGACAGTGGGGACAGCATGCATATATGGTCACCCAAGACATAAAATTGGGTCATTAAATGTTATCTACCACCATTATATTAAAATATCTACCCAAGTGCTAAAAACAAAGTTGAAGAATATAAAGTATAGACTGTGTATGTAATTTTCTCAAAAATAAATGCTGCCATTATAAAAGTAATAAGTGCCACTCCTTGTAAATTAGCATTGGTCAGAAGTGGCAAGTTCAGGTTCAGAAAGTACAAATCCAGACCAAGTTTTACTTTCAACCAACCAATTGAGTACTCTGAGAATGTGACTCTTTATACTCAACTGGTTGGTTGAAAGAAAAACGTGGTGTGGATTTGTACTCTCTAAAGCTGAACCTTCCACCTCTGGCATTGATACTCTGATAATAATATGACATGTGAGTTGCCTTAGCAAACATGGCTGCTGGATTGATGACATCTTCGCACCGTACCAGGATACCCTTCAGCTCCTCCATCGCGCTCTCCTGCTGCTTCTCTTCACCTGCTGGGGGAGGCTGGGGGGGGGGGGAGGATAGCATAGTGTCACCCATGAGACCGCTGTATGTCACATGGGTGGAGCCCAGAGGCCCCCGGTGGTGCTGGTGATATTTCTCAGCATGACAGCAGATGTGCAGTTTCCCCCGTGACCCCTGACCCCGCGTCACTATGGCCGCCGCGTATTGACCACACTGTGATGAATGGCAGTGGCCGAAGTAATAAATGTGAAGCACGTGCTGGGGTCCCTACAGGCCATGCTGTCCTCCTGATTTCACTCACGTCACATGACCCAAGTTGCCATAAAATGATCCACAGGGACAAGACAGGATTATTAGACAATCTGCACCCCCCCCCATACTATTCAATATGTGTTAAACACCCTATATTTGTTTAACGCACTCTGGGGGCAAGGCTGGCCATCTCTCTTCTTCCGTAGATTCCCCATAAAAGCATGCCCTCTCTCTGTTGTCTTTTTTTCCCCCGACAGCGACTCTTGACTGCTTTAGACGAGCCGCCTATCTCTGAGGCTGCTGTTTTGTTCCAAAATGCTAAATGCTAAGTCTTACGGGGGCCATAACATTGCAGTAGCTGCCATAAAAAGATTAACTAAATGCACCATCCCGTCAGGCAGAAATAAAATTTCAGTCCGGTGGTTGACGTCTGTTTGACTACTGGGATTAATCCCGCAATCTTTTGGATCACCACTCGATAATGATGTGGCATACAGCTGATTTACATGCATTAAATAACGGCAGCCATGGATGAAGGGTGTTGTGGTGGTGCAGTGGTTAGCATTATTGCCTCACATCTTTGGGATCAGGGTTCAGGACTCAGTGTGTTTTTGTATACACACAAGAAATCTATGGATGGTTATGAATAATACTGCATGTACCCCACAGAGCTAGTAGTAAAAATCATATGCGTGGATGTTTTAAATGCTTGCAGTTTAATTTATACAAAAATGTTCTGAGGGCAGACTGAAAAATTATTGGTTTAGAGAGATAATCAATCAGATTGTTGAGGAGGTGGGCCCAAACAACTACTGGAGGTGGGACCAACCAATCAGATGTCTTGGTCCCACCTCCTCTAGTTGCTTTGACCCACCTCCTCTACATTCTGATTGGTTATCCCTCTTAACCAAACATTTCTTTTGTGTAACTAAAACTCCCATGAGCTTTAAAGTTAATCAATAAAGGCCGCTCAAATCAGAACATCCCATAACCCTCCAGGAAATTCCAAGACAGCCAAGGGAAAGAGTGGCTTCGAGGAAACAGGAGAGGCTTTCTTCGATATCAGATTTCAAAAACTGAGGCTGAAAGGGGACAGCCATGCTGCTCGTTGCAGGCAAAAACGCTTGCATTTGGTTTTCCAGTTTGTCCTGTGCACATGCCGACGTCTGATCAGGGATGGAAGATGCCGGGAACGGCACCATCACACGGCTCACCTTTATGCCGAACCTCTTCAGGAAGACCATCCATCAGCACAGAAACAGAACGGGGGAACCAAAAGGAGAACAATCATTAAATACAGACTAGTGTGTCAACTGCTAGAACAAATAACAGCAGAGCTTTGTATGAACCATCCACCTCAAGCACGTTCATTAAAGTAAAAAAAATATATCCATCGATCAACGTTCTACTCCACTCACCCAGACGACTTGCCGACCCTGACTAGGTGTCTCCATCAGAATATGGATGGATAGACAGGTTATGCAGTTGACGATCATGGAGACTATGAATATGTATCAGGTAAATAGACCTGAAAGCTAAACCAGACACTCCCCAGGCCCTACACCGGAAGAGATCACACGGCGGTCTGGCGGGGGACGCCCACCTTGGTGTCCTGTCCCTTCACGGGCCGCAGCACCACCCCGTGCTTGATCCGCTCCATCATCTCGTTGACCGCCTTCACCTTCACGTCGTCCATGCCAGCACTCGCTTTATGGTGGAGAGAGGGTGTGGGAGTCACAGCAGTCACAGACAGAACCCCCCCCCCCCCATGTGAGATTTGGTAGCGACGGGCCTGGAGGAGGACACTTACGTGGGGCTGGCTCCATCTTCAGCGGCCCCTTGGAGCTCTTGGAGGACTTCCTCATTATGGCAATTAGGGAGCTGTTACACAGGAAAAAAAAACACTATAATCAATAAATTAACAAAATTGACCTGTTACATACAATATTTCCCCTCTTGAAATAATTACGCTCATTAGAAACATAATAAAAGGCATCTTAATAACTTTTACCATTCTGTGCTTGTTCATGTGCAGATTAAATCCCAACTCCCCCCCCCCAAACCATGAAAGCATACATAATAGGTCTGAGTACTTCCTACTAAGCAGACACTGTGGTTCCCCACTGGGAGGGGTAGTAGGAAACTGGACCCCACCCATAGTTTTCTGTAGCACTTATGGTATATTCACACTTGGCCCGATTGCCTTGTACTGTGCCTGAGAATGATTGCTCCACCCCCCCCCCCCTCCACTCCCCTGCTGGTTTGCACTCACATTGTGCTTAAGATTCTGGGCTAAATCACGCTTTCATCATCAGCGTGAGACTTTTGATACTGAAGAAAACATAGGAAGCGCTACCACACAGCACAATGGAGTTCATGATTAATGTTCTTATTTTGTGGTTTATTTGGAATCGTTTTGCATGCAATGACACATGGCCCTCTTATGAATTTATTAAGTGCACATAGCAGCGATTTTCAATTAATTATACTGCACATAATGGTATATTGGTATATAATGGTATATTGTCGCATATTTTGCCAAATTATCTTGGAGTTTCTGTGTGCTACATCTAGTTATTCCTAGTTACTATCGTGAGCTCAAATTTACAACAAACACTGCACCTCTGACATAGACTAACATCATCCCTTCGCCGCCATGATTGTTAAATGGCCAGTCATATCATGGACGCCATGTTTGTATATAATGCTAGTGATCACACTGGTCAAACTGGACTTCAGGACTCAAATGTGCTCGGGCACAGTACGGGTCACCTAGTGGCAGTACACCCTTAGAGTTCCGGACGGCCCAGAGTTACCTGAGGGGGTT